TATTGAATTCTCCGTAGAAAACCAAGTTTCGAGCAATTCGCTTCCTTATCTTGTCACTCCCTGCACCAGAAACTCAGTTTTATCCCAGGCAAGTCGATGTCCCTCTTCATCCACATACACTCAGTAAAGTGATAATGAGTAATGATTTCTGAAGGCTCCTCTGCGCTTATACATACAATTTCCTCCTTGGTTAACCCACATAGCGTTTAGCGCCATTTCGACACTGTATCCTGTAAACAACATTTCGGCGTTCGTGGGCTGTCCTTTTCCTTTTCGGCTTAGATAGTATACTCTTCCTAGTGGTGGTTGGTATGTGAGTTACCATGAGGTTTTGGGGCTAGAGGACTTCAGGTACCTAGTTGCAACATGTAGGATGACAACTGACTGAACAGCTTTGTATAATGAGACATCGCAGAGCAATGCGAATGCGGATAAAAAGCCAATCTTTGACAAGGCCCGTGGGATGGTTTCTGGGAATAACGCTGGTTCAATGAACTTACACAAAAGTGAAAAACACATCTGTGAATTCACCGTATTATCCACGTTAACACACAGGTATATCCGTCTACCATGATTTCGTGGGGTTGGTGAGCACAATATTTGTCTGCGCCTGGTCGTTGCCTAATGAACAAAAATCAGCTCAAGTAACGTAAATAACGTAAAGCATCATCGAGTAGTTTTTTTTTACAAAGGAGTAACCTGTGCGCGGAAATGACAAAACTCAAAGAGAAAATAATTCCGGTGGCATTCCAGCCGACTGTATTGAGTGGCCAGTTTCAACTTATGACCCCTCAATGTTGTATTGCAACTAGTTTAAGGTGGCGGCAGATGTGACCGGGTTTTCGAAAAGCTTGAACGCCAGGATTAGGTCACATTGTAGCCGGCGATATTTTCAGCTGTACACTCCCTGGGCACTCAGTCGACTATTATATTGCAGGTGGGACAACTCTTCATAATTTTGGTTGCATTCCAGTGCAGCCAGATCGTGTTTTAACCAGGATGTGCAAGCTTGGATCGCGTACTCTACATGGGGCCTCACACAGTCATTGAGCTTTTGGGGGAAAGATGGAGGGCTCGAACCGCCCGAATGCTAGCCGTAACAGACCAACATGTTGGTTCGCGATTTTGGATACCTTCAATGACTGAGCCGAACGGCTGAGCTCGTCTCGTATCACCGCCCCAAGATCTCGCTCTTATAAGGCGGTTTTCAGCGCGTCGTCTCCAAGCTTATATGCATACGTGGGCTTTTGGTGGACATGAACAGTTTTGCACTTATCCTTGTTAAACGGAAATATATTTACCTTTGACCATTCAAAAGCGCAGTCTGTCTCGTTGCAACATATCGTGATATTCCTCCAGTCGATTGCTCGGCATGTCTTAAGGTCATCGGCAAAAGCAAGAACTTTGACTTGTTGACTCTCTCAAGGTCGTCGATAAAGAACAAGAATAATCGCCGCCCCAACATTGACTCTTGTGGAGTACCGCAGTCCACATCAGTTGGACCAGAAAATGGATGTCGAACTCGAACCTGAAGGCGCAGCTGAAAAAGGAAGTTTCCGATCCATCCAAGGACAGGGTTTCCAACTCTGTATGCTTGCAGCTTTTGGAGCAGAACGCGGTGATCTATGCGGTCAAATGTTTTGTAGAAATCTAGGAAGCTGATATTAATGCAGGTCCCATTTTCGGCTATCTCGGTCCAACTGACACGGGTAATCCGTTGGTTGGTAGTACATGATCGTTACTGAAGGAATCCGTGTTGCTCAGATGCTATGATATCAGACCTTTCAAAGTAGCCCATTATAGTCTACGCTTTCATCTGTTCCATCACATTTGAAAGCACCGGGAGGAGAATCACTGGGCACTAACTGACTGGCTCTGAACTCTACCACTTTTAATAATCGGTGTAGTGATGCCTTGCTTCCACATCTTAGGGACCAGCTGTTCTTCCAGGCATTTTTGGAAAAATCTCGTTACTGGCTCAGCTATCCTCGTAGCTGCTACCTGTAGTGCTTTCGGGGTGTATGTTGTCAACTCCAGGGGAACTATGGGTGCGCGATGACAATATTTTCCTCAAAATGCTCGCAGAACTGCTAGGGACGTGTGTACATATTGGCATCTGGGACAATGGGACAGGTATATTACAAATGCTGGTAGTACGTCCGAAAATGGACATACTGGATCCGTAGAATGTTAGCTGCATCCTCGGCGGTTTCAGCACATCAGTACGCAGATAGCAATGGGGGAACATCACGTTCCACATTCCGGAGGTTGTTCACATGTCTGTACAGAAGCTTTTTGTTAGCACAAAACTTTTCCGCTAAACTCTGCTGGTGTACTAATTTGTCCTCGCACACAAGTGCGGTACTGGGACTATGATGCACAAAATAGTTACTCCAGTTGTCAGGTCTTGGGTTCGCTCGATGCCCATGCCACGCGGCGTCTTCTACTGTCCTGTTTATTTAGGTTCTGCTCCGAATGAATGGTGGTGTTCTTGCAGTACCAAGGCGCTTTTTGACCGATGCAGGTTTAATCAGATCACTGAACTTGCCAGTAAAGTCCGTCCAAGTATTGTCAATGGAACAGTCGTCCGGAAATTCCCAGCTGGCATCTCCCACAAGTTCTGCCAGAATGCCGTAGGGGGTGATTGTTCGAAACAAGCTATTATGTTCCTGTGGATATTCCGAGTAACACATGAAGTCGTGAATTACGGTAGCGTAGTCGATCCGCCCCAAAGGGCTCTCCAGCCTAGGTTTCTCAACCATGAGATCTTCGTTCGTAAGCACTAAACCGAGCACAGATGGTTTATTTCGGGCTCTGAATCGGGTGCGGGAACTGACATGACTGAACTGCGGAAGGCTTGCAATCTACTCTTAGAGGTTGGCTTTATAACTACTCGTTGGGGAGTGCCGAAACTTCCAAATCATGAATATTGAAGTCGCCTGAGATGGAAACATGGATATATCGTCCTCGTAGGACCCTTTTAAAGGATAATGCCAGGCAGGAGTCCATCTCAGCGTGGACATTGGGTAACGATAAACAACGACCAAATGGCAAGTGTCGTTGTGTCTCAGTCTCAGACTGCCCCAGAGTGAGTCCGTGATCAGCGTTTCCGAATCGACCAAGGGTTCACACTGCAGATGGTTGCGGTAGTATACTATTACCCACCCCCGCCTTTGCTAGGGCGATCGTTTAGGAGAATGGACATATATTTATCGCGATTTCAGTGTCGGTAATTTCTGAGTGCAACCAGGTTTCCATAACAAATATGAGGTCCCAGGCATGTGCCACTTGACGTAGCCGCAGTTCGGCAAGCTTGCTCAGGAGAACTTGTGTATAGGTGTAGAAGCAGGAAAATTTATCTGTTCTTAGCGGTGTATTGTGGGATGCGTGTTTTGGGTAACTTGTTATGCGAACCGGTGCAAGCTCGTCCACTAACCGCTTTTGCATAGGGCGATGACGAACTTATCTGTGTCGGGCCCAGGGATCACACCCTAACCTAGTTGCTTCTATCTTTGTATGTAATGTATGGGGTGTGTTTCCCATTTGCGTTGGCTAGTTGCTTGAAGTTATTTGAACTCTTGTCGGTAAGTGGTCTGCTTAAGTAGCTGCTCTCGTTTGGTTGGTTATAAGATACTGCTATGTTTTGGAGCTCGGAAGGAAGATTTCTGCGGCCCTCAGTAAAGTTTAGAGCGCAGTAGCAAGTCTCTCTGTAAGATAAGTTGGTAAAGTAACCTCATATAGCTGCGATTGTTCCAAGGACGACGGGGTCAGAAAACTGGCTTTCCGACCGCTAAGTAATGCTGAAAAACAAGTGCTCATGAAAGGGCTAAACTATAACTTTCATTGGTATTCATTAGTAATTACCACTCTGTCCGCATGGCTCCTAACTGTCGTGTCATACACCGCCGCTATACGGAACGTAGTAGCTCCTAAGGGCAACCACTGTCCTCCGCACAGCTCGTAACTTTCATGGCAGTGGAAAACAAGCCGCGCTACACTGTAGTCAACTGTTAGTCATGTCGTTCCTTCGCCGTCATCCATGGCTTAGTGGCAAAAGCTGTTAGCATCCGGGAGTCATGGGTACGAAACCCTGCAGAGAGTCGAGGAACCCGCACCACAGACGAGACCCAGAATGTTGAAACAGCTGTCTTGTGTTTTTCAGACGTGTGGGAACATGTGTGGTTGTGAGGGACTGCGACAAACTACATCAACACTCTTCTTAGCCTGATGTGATTTGACCCCTGACTGTTGCTTCCTGATTGGTTCGTTAGTGGGACCAACCTATGTTCTAATGTATGCGGGTCTTAGCGTCAATCCATCGTCCTGTCTTTGTTCAACCGAATCGTTTGCGCATTGTCGTAACCGTTAACTGTGTGCACCCATTTTGTTGAGGATATTGTTGTAGAGTGCCGTGTTCCTATTTTGCTACTTTTGTATATGACACCAAAGTCCAACTCCGACTGCGGCTTCTTACAAATCTGGTGGTCGTTTACCAGCTCCGGTTATATTTTGTTGGCTATTGAATCCTTCTTGAAGGTGGTGGATCAGGGTCCCACTTGTTGTGTCACTATCCTGAGCGCTGTTAACGCTTACAGAAACTGTTTACCCACCCAAAAATAACTAACGCGTTGGCACGACATCTGCACAAAATTAGCTAAAAAGGGTCTAGGTATTGTTTTTGTGATTGTTAAATGACAGGTTGGACTCTAGGCATCCAGAGAAATTCGAGGCCAAGGCTATGAGGTTCTAATCGCTGCGCCTAGCGTCTAGCACAAGGCTCAATTGCAAATGATCCGTACCACTATGCCCAGTATTCCACTGCAACCTTCGGCTATCTTAGGATCAAATATCCAAACATGGATGAAAACGTTCGTAAAAACAGCGTGGGGAACGAACACCATCGAAGTGCGTTCCTTTAGTTTTCACTCTTGTTCTGAGTGCCATTGATCCGAAATAGTCCCAACGACTTGGTATCAAACCCTTTTTGTGCTTTATTTCAGAAAGCGATCAAAGGCTATTCCTTTTTGCCATTTCTGGTAGTGGTGGTGGCCTGTTGGGTGTTCTTCGTCTTGTACATGCCGGAGACACGTAACCGCAAATTCGACGAAGTCGCTCATGATTTGGCCCACAAACGAATGGTTATTGGGAGATCCACACTCATACCGAAAGGCCCTTCACCAATTGAGTTGAGCCAAGAGGATAAAACGTAGGTGAGCATCGATCGAGCCTTCATGACGAGATGAGTTTACAGTGGACTGTACCACTCTACGAAGGTTTGGATACGTGGACGAACCAAGGTTAATTGGTGGTGGTGCTTCTAACAGTCCGTTGCGATAAACCAGTTTATGCTCTTATATTCATAACCTGCTTCCTATCTGCCTATGTTGTTCTGGTGGTGTGCATAGAGCTGTCATTTGTAGTAATCTTCTGACCCCACCCAATTTCTACGGCAAATGTCCCCCAAAACCATTCACAAAATTTTGTTGCCAATGCACTTTGCTATACCTTCGGGTCTTGCACATAGTTTAACAGATTATCCACTCCAAGTATGGTTGAATGAAGCATTTCACTGGGTGCCAATAAACCATGTTTTACTTGTTAATCAGTTGAATGTCACATTGGCTGATTCTGTTGAGCGCTCTCTGATTCTTTGACTTCTTCCATCTTATTGCACCAGAGCGCAAGTGACCAAAACATGTGGGTAAGGACCACTGAATTGACTTACATAGCGGTGTGGACTGTAAGCCAATCATTTTCTGCTTGTGAAAATGACGTAAACTGGTACCGCGTACATAGAGAAGTATTGGTTCAAAGTCCTTGATCAAAGGTAAGCAATGTGCTGATGTATAGTGAATCCAATTCAGTTGACTTAGTTTATCAACTAATGTTGTCAGTAATAAAAATAATTTGGGCGAAATGAACAGGGATTAGAAGCCTTATCTGTAACCTCCAAGGGACCGAGTACTAGGACGCTGCTAACTTCGTGACAATGCCTGATCCGGTCGGGTTACCTCGGACTCCTGAAGCTTTACTCTTGCCAAACTGGCAAACGAAAACAATCTAAGTATGTTAGCCCACCACTCTGGGGGTCAGAATATGAGTGACGCCCATTTGTGTAAAGCCAGGTCACTGTTACATTCCGACAGCGTTGCTGTTATGTCTCTAGGCCAGCAGATTTAGCTGAGAACGGTTTTGCTTGATTCAAATGGTCTCTTTTAGTTTTCGTAGCCACTTTGCATTTGCCCTAATGATGCTATATAGTGGTGTATAGACGGGGTGAGTGTAAACGGCTGAAAATGCGCCCACGTGAGTTTATGAAGCTTATCTTGATTTGACTTGATGTAACTAGTCTACGGTGGATGCCAAATCAAACACATACCAAGCTGGGTTAGATGGCTTCGTTTCTGGAAGAGCGTTTCACTGCTGGCACATGCATAGCGAGATGAAGTTGAAACGTTGAACAAGATAGCTGAGCTGCTCCACCAACATCAACTGTCTCCCCACCGGAACCTACAGTGAGCATACAATCATAAAATATGGTACCAGAAGCTGGGATTTTTCAACCTCTGGCATAATTGTTCCTTTTCACTACTATTTAGCTTGGGCTGTACACTGCCATAGGTATTTTGTTCAGCAGTTATTACACATTTTTGGACGCGTTCTGTTCAAAAAGCTTAAAAACGACGAAGTTGCACTGTCGCCAGCTCAGTGCAATATTGGCGATAGTACAAAAAGGAGAAAGCGCCAGCTTTTTGAGGAGCAGCTCACGACAGTCTCAAAATAGTCCCTGGAAGAAACTTTGCTTACTTGTAGTGACGTATCAAGCGCCCAAGTACTCTACCACTGTTGATGATTATGACTGACAACCCTTAAGCTCTACCAATGACCGTGCATCCGCGTAGGTGGCGTAATTTGCTTCCGTACTTGCAAATGACCATGTGTCTGTAATGAGTTCGACTTGTATCAAGCTTACCGAACTCAAAAGCCTGGACTGCGGTGTTGAAGTGGTGCGTCACCCACTCGACAAAGTTGACGGTACTAGACCTGCTGGTCCTTCGGACTTCATTCACAGATTCGCAAGTCGCCACCAGCCATCGTCCCATCCGCCGTGACTGAATTGTTCAAAAGGTCACTGTCCTAATGTTCATTGCCTAGCGACTAGAAATGCTCAGTGGCAAAGCAAATCAAGAAAACCGGTTACCCCAAAAGAGTAGACGATTACAGGCCTCCTTGTTTGACACTTATTTTAGCCAAAGTTGCCTAGAGAATTGTGAGAAAGAGTTTGTTAAAGTGTTTCTGATTGAAAAATATTGACTTCCTATCAGCAGGGTTTTACGTCACGTAGCGCATGCTTTACTAACCTGCTAGTGACTAGACATAATTGGTTGCATGCAGTACACGGGAGGTCTGTCGATGTAGTCTACCTGAGTTTCAGTAAGGCATTCAACAAGGTAAACCATGGGGTCCCCATCCAAAAGCTGAGAGTGTACGGTGTTGGCAGTTCACTACACCATTTGATCCGCGAGTTGTGCCTTGGACGAAGGTGGAGGGTACATGTCGACAGTCATCTAACTGACTGGTGTTCTTCTACAAGTGGCGTACCCCAGAGCACGGTGCTGGAGCCCATTCTATTCTTAATCCACTTCAATGGTCCACCTCAGTTTTCTTAGTCGCCGTTTGCGCTGGTTGCGGATGATTTGAAAAGTTGGTGAGTGTTAAACTCCCGAGACTTCTGAGGTCTAATTCAGTAAAATGTAAATCGCCTTTTTACGTGGTACGCAGTAGTCTGCCGCCCGGTCAAACCTAACGAGTTGATATTTATGAGCTTGGAAAAAGTAGTGACGACCGAACAGACGCCATTGTCGGCCAACCGCAACCTACGATGCCTTCAGTGAAAGACCTAGGTGCAAGCTCGCACTGCGATTTGAAATCCTTTGACAAGGCGAACAAAATATATCACAATGGACTGCGCAAACTCTGTAGGCTTAAACGCACTCTCTGTCGTTGCTCTGAAGAGGTCGCCACTCGCTTCTTCTCTTTGATTATAAGACTTATACCGGAGTATGGATCGCCCGCCTACTGTCCAGCGAGACAAGGCGCAAAAAATGCAAACGGGTGCAGTACGTCGTTACAAGACTCATTACAAGTTTACGGAAATTGTCGTGTGAAGACCGGTGTGCGAAACTTGGACTTTGTACCTTGTCTTATTAGGACAATAATAAGCATGTATATTCCCGGGTTTACGAGACATGCTCTTCTAATCATAAGCAAATTTTTACCATTGCTTCCTATAATATCTACGGCATATTCTAACTCTTAGAAAGAAATCAAATCGCTTTTTTAGTATCCATGGTTTTCCAGTTCAAAGCTCCGAATGGACACAGAATACTTCGCGGCCTCCTGACGAGGATCTGAGAATACGGGCTAAACCAAGTTTTATTTCCTTTGAATGAGGGATGAAGTGCAGTTGTCTGGTGACAAGAGCAACACTAAAGCTAAAATTATACTCATGGAACATAACGTTTACTTTAGACTTAACCTTTTCTATGCATTTTGGCGTTCTAATAAGGAGTAGTGAAAGACAGGTATTTACTTGATTTTAGTTCAGTAGCCGCATATTAGGCTGAGGCAGATGAAAGGGGAGATTTATTTGTTGTATGTGAGGCGTACGTGCTTTGCATTTGTCAAATGGTTCAGGAGTTTTGCTTTGACTGCACGCTAGGCGTATGCAAGTAGAATGAAAAATAACAAAGTATTATCGGAAAAAGGGTTGAAAATGTTGTAAGCATACATGTTTCCATGGGGTAAAAAGGGAAGTTTAACCGAGTAAGGGTTGCTGGAATCGTAACAGTGCATGACGGTGGATAGCTTAAGTCAGCGTTTTCTCCCCAGGTCCCAGCATTTGGTATGGCTATAAAATAAGCGTGACTGAATAAGCATAACGTGCATAGGGGAGATAACTGGTTATCAATCTCGGATTGTAATTCCTGCGCAACCCACTCTTATTGGTGAGGTATAGTTTCCAGAGCAAAAAGTAAACATGGTCGGGTAAAGAAGAGTGAATATGTTCCTGTTAATTATTCATCATTATTTAGTGCAACTCTACAGGCGGGCTTGACCAACTTCATAAATCATACGTAACATATTCAATGCATATTTGTAATCAGCATACCTAAGACTCGCCCCTCTCCTCAAATAACATTCCTTCATTACAATTCCGTTGGGACATTAATTTTACGTATTGCAGTGTCAGGCAGTCTGAAGCGGCTCTACTTAGTACTGGCTGTGATTCCCGTGCTCTTATTTTAATAGGGAGACGGTTTCAGACTTCAATAACTGTTTCAGTAGAAGTTTATACGAATATTGGTTTTAGTTTCGAACACCGGGAATGTGTTATTGGCATACCTGATTGCATTCATAGCTTCCCATTTGGAGTGAATATTAAAATTAGATGCCAATACACGATTATCGACGGAATGAAATAGGTTGATCTCACCTTCAAGCATCTTGGACACAGTGGGTCCAGTTGTATCATCTTGCAACGCTATGAGAAATAAAGTTAGGACGAGGGGTTAAACAGGACCGTAGTGAAGGATCGCTGCCCGTTTTCTAGGCATATGTGGTCGAGTTTCCTGCCGCGAGTAAAAATAATCCAGCGCACAGGACTAATCCACGCTCTGAACAAGAGCAGTTTAGTTTCACGCATCTAGAACGATTGTAAGGTAAGTTCAGCACTTCTTCGTGGCTTGGCATTATGCATGAAAATTGTTCACTAAAATTTAGCTTGCTAAATTACCGGAAGAATAGCTCACCTATAGTATTATTAAAAACGATAGGTTTAGCACCAAGGTAAAATGCAGCTGGTGAAATTTCACACTTGCATGTCAACACACTGCATCTGTCCACTGAGCAGGATATTTACCAACAGCTACGCTGCGATTCCAAGGCTAACAGATCTATGCAAACGCTTTCTATACATTTTGCAGGCAATTTCACGCATAGTGCTAATAAGTTATCGTGTTACCAAAATCAAAACATCGTGTTGTGCATTCAAGTTCACGCGGGTATCAATTCAATTACTCTCTGAGGGTTAGATGCACGCACTATCAGTGACACGCTCATTGGTCTTAGGTCATTAATTAATGGGACTCCCTGGATGTAAGCACAGGGCTAGATGTAAGCATCTATGGGGACAGGTATACTCCCGAGTAAGTTGACACATTTCTGTTAACGAAAGGCAGACACAGATGAAAGTGTCAGTGCTAGAGGTCATCAACAATACGCCTGACTGTATCTAGTCAACCTAGCATGAGGTATTTGCACGTTCTCTGTCAGAAACACTTTAACATATCGTTTGTCGGCAAGAGTACCATTGGTTCATATTCTGATCCGGCCGGCAGCCGATGTCTCTATGTCAAAGTTCCAACGCTTGTCATAGCAGTCCGAGACGTATCTAGCGCATAATTTGTGCTTGGCCCAAAGTGCTTAGTACCATGGGCAGATTTAGGCTGCAGGTTAGTACTGCCTCTGGTCGAAGCAATATATCGCATGAAGATAATAATAGTATTACTCACATGGAGCAAGATTCTAGTTGTACGTCT